CGGAGCCCGGCCGGGCACGGGCCTGACCCTCTCGGGGAGCTGGAGGAGTCCAAAGGTCGAGTCTTCAGGAGATGATTCCTGCCCCCCTGTTCGTGCCCTGAGGAGGCGGGTTAGCGAGGTGCGGGCAGCGGGGAGACTTTAAGTAAGCTAAGCACACACCGAAAAAAAAGCCAACCAGACACCAAACTTAGCAACAGGAGTGTGGTTACTTTTAGTGCTTCAGTGGCTGCCGAGGAGCAAGCGAGCACCTGAGGGAGAAAGGAGATTGGGAATTGTTGTAAGATGGGACTGCCGATCGCCTGCTCGGCGGCCTTCCCTGCCCTTCCCGCCGCCGTCGGGCCGCCCGCAGCGCCTCTGCCTGCTCCTCTGCTCCTCTGTCTGCTGCTCTCCCTGCTCTGCCTGCCCCTCTGTCTGCCCCTCTGCCTGCCCCTCTCCCTCCTCTGCCTGCTTCTCTGCCTGCTCCTCTGCCTGCCCCTCTCCTTGCTCCTCTCCCTGCCCTTCTCCCTGCTCCTCTTCCTGCTCCTCTCCCTGCTTTGCCTGCTCCTGTGCCTTCTCCTCTCCCTGCTCCTCTGCCTGCTCCTCTCCCTGCTCCTCTGCTTCTCGTCTCCCTGCTCCTCTCCCTGCCCTCTCACCCTCCTGGCACCCCCAGCATTGCAGAGCACCCCTGGCCAAGTGCCTCTCCGTGGCAGCCACGGAGCCGGGGAGGTTTCTGCCCCCGGTCTGATGAGCACAGCAAGGCCCTCAGCCTTGGTGCTCAGTGGAACGAGGAGCCACGGCCTCTCCAGTCAGCAACAGGGCAGTCTGGCTTCTGTTAATGTAGACCTGGCTTTGCGTTTGATGACTCTTTAACTGCTGTGGATATCAGATCTTAAGCTCTCTTAACTCCCTTCAGTTTGTCTTGAGCTTATGGCTTGGCTGCTTTTGGCTGGGGTTTTGTGCGTGTGTATGCAGGTATTCAAATAAAGAGTGTATGTCTGCAGGACAGGTAACCTCAGTAAATCTAAGCGATCAGGGTGGACCCTGCTGGTAGGTAGGATCAGTGTGGTCCCTCGGTGCCTTCTGAATCCAAGGGAGCAAAACCAGAAGAGGGTTGACACTGAAAATGTTTTCCGACAGTTTTGAGAACTCAGTGCAAACTGAGCGGGAGAGTTGGTAAATGCATTCCTTCAACCTTGAAAGGCATATTTCAGCACTGCTGAAGGAGCTTGTGATTTAAGTAAAATATGGAACATAATAACAGAAATTATATCTTCTGTAGTTTCTCTTCTACCTTGGCAAAATGTTGTGCTGTTGAGCCTGTTTTGCTACAGGGTTGCTCCATAGTTTTGATGTAAAACAGAACAAAATTGTTGTAAAAATAAACCTGCTGAGCCCAAAACAGAAAGTAAAAGCAAAACAAAACCTGACTGATGGTCTCATAGATCGTTACAATGCACACAGACACACACTGAAAAAATAATCACAGAAATATTTAGATAAATATGTAGTCTTCACTTAAGTTTTCCTGGGTTTTGTCTTTGAAACTTGTGACTTGGTCGCATTTAAAAATTTTTGTGCATAAATCTGATGTTTTTATGTATTCAAAAGAGAAAAAGTAAGTTTCATTCCACATTACTCCTGCAGCTTCCTTTTTTGTGTGTGAACTTAGTGTTCACATTCCCTGCATGAATTAAATATTGGAATAATTTTTAGTTTTATTTTTAGTGCAGGTTTGCACCTCTACTAAGGGTAGAATGAGGCAGATTTCTTCTAGACTGAGGTAATAATTGCAAAGTTTGTTGTATCTCTGAAGATTCCTTATTTTTCATTCTCAATCTTAATCTTTTGGTAAAAATATGGAAAGTTTCTCAGAGTACCTTCCTTACAGTCACACAAGTGCACGTATTTATGGCTCCTTAGTACAATGACACTGAACATTTTAAGAGCTCAGATCACTATCTTAAAATGGTTTACTGTCCTCTCTGTTTTTCTTTTTTTTCTGAATCAGGAAATGAAAAACTGGGGTTATTTATAGAAGAACCTTCAATGTTCATAATTATCTGCATTCTTCCTCACTGAGGTTTAAGGACTGGAGCACAGCGGTGCTTCAGTTGTTGACTGAGTCAGAGAGGGCCACTTGCCACTTCTGTTGCTATTATAAAGAAGGAGGAGTTCAAGTGATAGAACTGCTCAGTGTTAGTTTTACCAGCCTGCATTTTCTACAGCGTTTGGTTAGGCTTTTTGTTTTTAAAGCTAGGCAGAATGCAGGAATAACTGCATGCAGAAATACAGGACAGGGAGTAGCTAGACAGGTGCAAACTTTACAGGATAATATCTGTTGTGTATGGTGGATTAGAAATGGAACTTGCATTAATGAATTCTGCTCTTAAGACAAAATGTCAGACTTCCTCCTGTCACGAATCAGCAGGAGCAGAACCTCCAGAATGTGAGTGTTGAACTAGTGTGTCTGTTCAGCAGTAAAAGATGCAGACCGGTTGGGCAGTAGTCACAGAAAAGACATTGGACCTGCAAAACAGGATTTGGAAACAAATGAACAAGTTGGTCTCATTCTAGAGAAAGGGTAAGGCAGAAATCTTTAGATTTATAAAAGGCAATTCTAAGAAGGAAGGGAGTGTCTTCCTGAGTGTAAACTGTTGTAAGGAAGATTTAGACTAGATAACACACAACATTTTCTAGCAAGTTGACAGAGTGAATGTATTGGATATTTTTGAACACTTGTTCCTTCAAAGTTGATTTTAAGGGCTATGAGCAAAAAAAAAATACTTATTTTCAGGTTAATGGACCATTATGTTCAAGGACACGTTTCTTTGCAGGTCAGGCAGTATATCTCATGACATCAAAACATCAGTGTGATAACCCGTTTTCAGCATCATAAATTAGTAGTGCATTTCTTCTAGATCAGGAATGCATGTTAGCATTTCTGATGAGGCAGAAGAGTAGTTATCCAGTATGGAATTTATTTGTATTTCTTCACAGCCAGGAAGTTTGTCAATCCTATTCTTTCCATAGTGTGAAGGGGAGGTTTAGGTTGGATATTAGGAAGCACTTCCTCACACAGAGAGTGATTAGACATTGGAATGGACTTTCCAAGGAAGTGGTGGAGGCACCGTCCCTGGATGTGCTCAGGGAAAGGCTGGATATGGCACTTAGTGCCATGGTCTAGCCAATGTAGTAGTGTTAGGTCATAGGCTGGACTTGATGATCTTAAAGGTCTTTTCCAGCCTTGCTGATTCTGTGATTGTGTAATACAGTTGAATCTCATGCTTCTTACGGGCATTATGAATGTGGATTGAGGGAAGTCTTGGGGGGAGTTTTCTGCTTGAAGATCAATTTTAGAAACAAAAGGGGTTGTCAGATATAGGAATGCAACAAAATGCTCTACTGCTGCATCTCTGAAGGCTGTAGTTAACACAGTATATCAGAAATAAAATAGCTGGTTTGTGTAGCAATGCCAGAGAAAATACAGGATTTTGTGAGTTGCTATGAAAACATTTTTATGTCTCTGTAGTTTTCTATTTATTTTTTTTTCTCTTGGCAGATTTTGTGAAATTAGCAGGCCTGCTGTTAACAGCATTGGCTGCTTGGTACTTGGGATACATATTTGCTTATCTTATACCCAATGAGACAATAACAACTTCTATTGCTAATCTTCGAGACTTTGGAAAGAAACCAGTGCTGAGGGGTATGTAGTTGTATTTCCTTTTTTTTTTTTTTTCCTTGTACTATATCTAATGTTGTGTATTTACATGGTAGTTTACAAATGGCTTGTTAGCTAATAAATTATTTGGTATGTGCTATTATAAGTATGAAGTTGGCTGTGTAAAGTTAATTAATTACTGCGAGTCTGAACTATTCCTTAGACAGTATCTTTGAAGAAACACGATGTCAGCGTCTATTTGCCAGTATGCAACTATAATTCATTTAATAGTAGTGTAAGTACACATTATTTGTTTGCTGGCACAAAGCTGCAGGTTCTATCATGTGCATTTTCCAGTTATAGTAAAGTGTTGAATCACTAACCAAACTTTGTGATTAAATTCTTATTATTTTTTCCCTCCAGTCTGACTGGGTGGCTTAACATGTAAATTTTTCTCAGGCTATGACTATGTTATCATGTGAAAAAGGCTTGAAATGAGAATGACAACTACAAACTTCAAACTCTTTGCAGGAATCCTTCATCCTTGTAGCTCTTGTTACCTGTTACCTGAAATAATTACTCTAGATTCTAACCAGATCATACTGTATGGGGCATTTTCCCTAGATAAACTAGCTCTTGAGCCCAGCAGCTGTTCAAAAGTCAGTGATAACTTAAAGACCAGGCAAATTTGTGATACTGTTGCCATAATACTGGAAAACTGTCGGAATCGAGTTATTTATGCATGTTTGAGCTTAGCATGTTGACATTAAGTGATGCTTTCCATGTAGAAACGGTTTATGCAGCATACAAGAAAATATTTTCTCAACTTTGTTGTTGTAGCCCCAGTCCCAAAAAGGCAGAAGTGTGATCATTGGTCTCCTTGCTTACCTGGGAACTATGCCTATCGGATTCTTAGTGGTGGTGGCAAATTAAAGCTGGCTAAAATTTGTTTTGAGGATGAGATGTGAGTACCAGTTTAGCTTTAAATCTAAGCAAGTGCTTTGTAATCTGAAGAAGGATGTTTCATTTTGGTTCTCTAGCTGCAAGTAAGTTCCTGTCAGGGGGCTCCTGTTCTGGTGATGAACTTCAGAATATATCTGACAGTATTTAACTCTTTCTCCTCTCCCTCCCCCTTTTTTTTTAAATACCTGATCTCTGGTTATTTTCTTCATTACTCTACATATAGTTTCAGGTACGATTTTACGTCTTCAAGGTTTGAGATAGCCAGTTTAGAGTATGTTGAATGGTGAACACCTTCTTAGAGTCAGGTTCTTTTAGGGCTTTTCAAACTGGACTGGTACAGTGACTTCAAAACCTTGCAATGGTCCTTTATGTAAATATAGTCCACACAGGATACTGCCACAAAACCACATTTTATCTGGTTGTGGTTTGTTTTTTTCTACCTTATCTTTCTGGCTGCATTTGTACAAAGTACTTTTTTTATCAGGCTCATTTCGAAAGACTAATTGTGGATTGTTGAAGGAAACTGACGTAATGTACAAGATTTTGAAGCCATAGATTGTTTCCTACAAAGTCTTTGAGTTAAATAACTGACGAAAACATGATCAGAAAGTGCCTTAGCATTGGTAAATATAACTTTGGATTAGAGCTTCTGGGTGGATGCATTCTACTGATACTATATTTATTTCCATTCCAGGCTTATAAGTGAAGAGAAAGGTAATGTTGGAAGAGGTATAAACATAGCCATTGTGAATTGTAAGTAAGAGAAAAAAAAGTTAATGTACTGCAATAATTTACAGAGGTTCTTGGGGGAATGTGAGTTTTCTTAGTAGATGAAAGGGAAAAATGGCAAACTTGATTCATTTTAAATGTAAGAAAAACAAATCTGTGTTTGAGAGAAAAAGCCTTTTGGATAAACAAAATAAACATATTCATAATCAGTATAAGAAAATAGAAAATGTGTTCATAGAAGCAGTATTATGTGTATTTTATTAGCTAAAAGAATTGCTTCTTATGTAACATGGCAAAATATCCATGACCTCCAGCAGTAAGACTCCACTTTCAGGTTCAGTCTGTGATAATATTACACATTTTTAAACAGCCATTTTCTGCATCATACAAACATTCATTTTAGCTACACTTTCATCACATTTGCAGGCAAAACTGTCCACCGTCTCCAACCAATTTGTAGTGAGATGTATTTTCTACATTACATTTTCGACATTTTCTACATTTCTACATTTTCTAATTAGGTCGGTCAAGCTAATGACTGTGCTCAAGAAGTTTCTTACGGCATCACGCTTTTATTCCATAATGATAACTCTTTCTTCTCTGAGGGATTATGGTCACTGGTAAGAAGGAAGACAGAACTATGAAGCCCAAGCTAACAACACAGAGAGAGAAAGAAAGAATTTTGTGGATTTCTGCAGTTCTCATGACAGCCTTTTCATTTTTGGGTGATCTCTGCTCAGAAAGCAGCCCAGTTCTGGAACTCTGTTTTATCACTGACAATTTTTTGCCCCCTTTTCCCTTCAGCGTGATAAACCTGCCATTTAGAATGCTATGTTTAGAAGAATTTGCCTTCATGATTTTACCATATGTGGATCAAAGATAAGCCAGAATTAGTCAGGAACTGCCAGATCTTCTCACTAGAAATGAGCTGACGCCCTCTAAATGGAAAAGACCCTCTCAAGTAGCAGGGCTATGTGTCTTGGATAACAAAAATCAATTAACTTGCCATGGATTTAGAAATTTGTACGTGTCTTGTAGATAGCCATCTAAACAGCAGCTTAAATAATTATTAATATTGACCAAAATGTTTTGGAATTGTTTGTATGCCCAGTTTCTGATATGGTAATGGTAAGTGTTGAGTTTCTGTCCACTGAGATTCAAATGCTGTGAAAGCCTGCACATCTGAAACACTGTGCAGAATAGTATTAAGCTCATTCAAAGAGCCTTATGCTTAACCAATTTTCCTCTTTTGGTTATGACTAGTATAGTATATGTATATATAAAAACGTGGAAGTACACAGTAAACTGAGTTCCCTCTTTAAAAAACAAGCTAATACTAATGTTTTAGTCACATACAGACTACAGAGACTATGTGAAACAAAATACTCTCCCCAAATCTTAAACATATATTACTCCATATGCCTTCCAATCTAAAAACTTAAACATAAGAAAACTCAGAAGCACAGTGATACACAAAATTAGAGATACCTAGCTTTAGCTGAAAATGCTCCTGGTTGAATTTAATGATTTTCACTTACATTTACACAACTTTTTTTTAATTACAGATAAAACAGGAAAAGCTACATCGACAAAATATTTTGACATGTGGAGAGGAGGTAGGGAAAAGAGTGTGATAGAGCTTTTTTGTTAGTGTTTCAGCATTAAGGCAAGACTTACATTTATATAATTATCCTGCTCTTTCAAATTGTATTATCAAAGGGGATTCACTAGAAACAAGCAGCTGTTTGCTCTGGTCATATCTGGTGACAAGTTTTACCAGAAAAGCTGAATTTCTCCTGTTGGTTGAGATAATTGTCTCGTTTGTTTGTTTGTTTTGCTCCTTTTTTTTTTTTTAATTGTTAGATTGTCATTTTTTAATATTTTTTTTTCCCCGTTATTTCAGTCTGGTAGGAACTTAAAGCACCTAAACAGGTACCACATCAATATCCTTTACTCAGCAAAATGCCATTCCTGACATATTTTGTTCTATTTTAGTTGTAAAATCATTATAGGGAGTATGCTGATCTGCCCTTTAACATCCTTCTGTGTAGCTAGAAAGATGATGTACTTTAAGAAGAGCTTTTAACACATTTTCCAAACTTTGAGCAGTGACAGTTTCCTTACCATGAGTAAGGACAAAAAATACTATGAGGCACTGAAAGCTACTTCTCTGACCATGTAAAAATGCTTGTGACCTTACATGCATGAATAGAAATCCCATTGAGACTAACCAGGGGCTACAATTTTATATATGGTATGTAGACTGTAAAGTCTCCAGGGTGCCTGTTACATTTTTTTTTATATGGCAACAAGTGTCTTGTGTATTTTTGGCAATTGCAGAACCAGTAAATAGCTTAGTGCTGCAAATAGTCCGCCTCTTCATGAAAGTGGATGTACAATGGGGTGTGTAACTTGGCTCTGAAGTTAGCACAGTAGTAGGAAGCTCACAGAGCAGAAATTACTCCTCTTGGGCTATTCCATGCTTTGCTTGCATGTGTGAGGTAAACATAAGAAACCATCTGTACACTTACCTCAGGCATAAATGGCTTTTGCAGAAGTTCAGAAGTATATTTGTTTACTACTGGGAAATACAGATCAGCTAGCAGCTTTCTGCACCTTTCAGGGTTAGAACTTCTTCCTGTAAGAAGAAAAATTGCCTAATTAGGTCTCGTTTTGAATAGACAAGGTTAAACAGTGAAAACAAGTTGAAAGTATGTGGAGTATGATATGAGTGTAATTAACAATCTCTTGTGTGACTGATTGAACAGACCATTCAGAAGAGATGGTGACTTTCATTAAAAATGCACCAGAAGGGTCTCTGCTTTTGATGGTGACTCATGATGATGGAAGCACCCGGTAAGCAACTTATTGATGTCAGGCTGAGAAGCAGAGCAATGAATAGCTTGAAAATCACTGTTGCTTAAGGGTGTAAAAAAGTGGTAAATTCCACTCTACAGTCACGGTTGTTCTCTTGTTCTTCTTGCCTAAAAGTTTTTGGTTCCATGTCCATTCAGTGCTTGCCTGTATCATGTATGTTGATGCTTCCAAAGACGGATAGATAGTGTTATATTTGTTTAGAAGGACCAGTTGTCCTCATGAAGGGTGCTGCTCTGGGTCACACCTTCTATTAAGAAGGTATCCACAACTCCAATTATAATGTATCTAGTTCACATTCCTTCTTATATCTTAACCTGATTCTTCACATCCTTTCAAACCTTTGGGTTTTTTATTTTATTTCATTATATAATAATTATACAGGGAAAGACTTACTCATTTGGTTGATAAACCATGATGCCTTTTTCCTTATTTAAGAAGGGTTAAAATGTCAAATAGTATTTTAGATATTTTTTTCTTTCTGCTATGCAGTTACAAACAGGTCATAATAATACTAGGAATGTGGAAAGGAGGAAGAAAAAGCATTTTGCTCTGTGAGTTTAATTGCATGCTACTAAGACATCTCTTAGAACTTCTCATTGTTGCCTCTGCTGACATTCTTATGTAAAGCATGAATCAGCTATGTTGTTTTTCAAAATTTTTCACCTGAATTTATAACAGTTTTATGAATTAAATTTTCCCAGGTTGAAAGATGAGGCCAAAAAATTAGTAGAAGAGCTGGGAAGTAAAGAAATACAGAATATGAAGTTCAGGTCAAGCTGGGCTTTTATAGCTGCCAAAGGCTTCAAGCTTCCAGGCGATATCCAAAAAGAAAAGGTCAGGTTCATTTTATTTTCACTTTGTGTTTGTTTGTGTATCGGGTGTAACATTCAGGTGCAGATATCATGGGTTAGCTGTAATTACTGTAATCTGGTCAGGAAGCCTCAGTCATACCAAGTAAGTTCTCCAAGGTATTATCATTCCTTGCCTTGGATCTGGGCCATGTGCTGACTTCTACCACACCATCACTAAACCATCTGTAGAGAAAGCTCAGAGGTGACAAGTGATTCTATAAAGTGTCAGTTTTGAAATGTCCAACTGACATGCAATATAGAGATTCACATTTTCTTTTGGAAGGACAAATTCCAAGGACTTCATAAAGACATTTTATATGAAAATTGGGCTGTCTCTCATTGGCTATGCAAATACATCCATGTTTGCATTACAAAACTTTTCTGAATAACTTGTCCAATTTCTTTTTACATCTGTGGTCTTCTTGTATCTGCTTTCTGTAAGCCCAGTGGTGCTCATTTGTATGAAAGAGACTCTACAGAAGCCAGTTCCTTTGATGATACTGACTTCCTCCAAAGGCATGTGAAAACTTCCATAGTTATTTTTTTCCCAGAATATTGATGCACTCTTCTTCGTATTGCAGAGCTTCTGCGGGAAAAAGGCATTCAATTTAGTGTAGACTATGACTAGTAGAATCTTCACCCATTGTGTCAAACAAGTACTGCAACGTGCTACTTAGCTGCCCAGTTCTTTCCATTACCTGCTTCTGTTGTATAAGGTTTGACAAACTAGTTTGTAAAAGGTGAACCAAATATTGTTGGTTTTTTTTGTTTGTTTGTTTTTTAACAGATAAATCACTCTGATATGCAGAAGAACAGATATGGTGGCTGGCCAGCTGAAATCCAGATAGAAGGCTGTATCCCAAGAAATCTGATTTAAACAAATGCATACCTCATTAATAAAGATGATTCTATATTTTTATATCTATGACTCTAGTAAATAAACTACAGAACCCAATAAGCATCTGAGCACTAATTGTAAAATAAGTCATATGCACAGTTTTTAACCTCTCTTTCCTCTGTGAGGTTTTACTATAAATGAAAATAAATAGGTATTTTGATGACACGTGGAAATAAAATGCTCTGGTTTAGAATTACACTGTTTAGAAAGTCATTCATAAAATACTAGGATTTTTGAAAGAGGTCACACACTGTCATTACTAATTTTAAGGTTTTGGTTTTGTTTGTTTGTTTGGTTTTAGTGTCTCTTTTCTTTGTGTTCCTTTTAAAGACTAATAAAAAATATAACTTTGTCTAAATTGTAGTATCAGATCACTAGGAATAAAGCAAATTATTTTATGTTAGTTTTTTATTAAATAACTTCACTTCTGTCCAGAAAATGTATGGAAATGGCAGTTATATTTGTTGAGCTGATTTTGGTGATGTTGACAACATGGAATAGCAATGTTAACACATAAAGGTCAAGTTACTTGAATTATTTTACCAAATTTAAGCTGTAAATCTACATGGTATGTTTTAAATATTTTTTTCATTCTGTAAGTTTAACTTATTAAAAAAGTGTAGGGACTTCATGGAAGCTTAAGCGTTATTCATGTTAACTGTAGAATCAAACATGTTCATGTAAGGAAACTTAAAGCCCTTTATTCTTTTTCCCTTTTTCTGAAGCGCATGAAGCGTGTCTGGACCTTTCTTAACTTGTGTTTGTCCCCTTTGTTGTTCAAAAGCCTCCCATGTGGCAGATTCCACAGCTTAAGTTGCTTTCTGTAGCATTTCACTGTTATTCTAGTAAAACATACTGAATTAACCTTAGAGGACCAAGGCAATTACTTGAAGAATAACTCATCGCTATTCTTTTTATCCCAGTCTATTATGTATCTGAAGACTGTCCTCATCAAATTTCTCATCCTGAGACTGAACCTACCTGGCATATTTTAATCTTTCTTTATGTTGTTCTCAACATTAAAACATTTGTTTAGCAGCAACTTTCTTAACATGCTGTGCTTCTAGTGAGTCCCAGCACTCTATGCAGCTACTTAGGAGTGTCCCACGCTCTAGACTTTGGGCAGGAGAAAATCAGAAGTGGTGACCTGAGAGGGTGGCTGCCAACAGGCAGCTTCAGTCTGCTCTTGTGTTCCGTGTTGCCTGGTTGAAGCCCCCTCAGTGGTGCCCCAAATCTCTACCCTTGTCTCTGCCACTACCTGCTTATAATCAGTGCTGTGTTCCCAGCAGCTGCCTGGTGTCATGTCCCCCACGAGTCCGTCAAGCTCTTGTTTCCTGCTACCAGTTTGTGAACTGCTCAGTAGCCAAGGGACACTGCCAAAGAAAGCAGTTACATTAATTTAACTCAATTTGACTCTGGGCACACTCACAATGGCTGCTCCTTATCACCTTGCTACTGATGAGATGGTTACAAATTGAGTACTTAAATAGCTGTCTCAAGATTTTTCACATCAAAGTCATTCTTTTGTTTGTTGGTTTGGTTTTTTTGGGGGGTTGTTGCTTGTTCAGCCTACAAATCTCGTAGGTCGGCGGCTTTGCTGTGACACTTTACACAACTAATAGTAAGTGCATGTGAACTGTTGTAACACGTACTGAACTTAGCCTCTTTCTTGAAAAAGGGATTTGGATGGAAGACTGTGAGGGACCAGCCCTTGGGACCTGTACTTGCTGGAATTGGTGTCAAAACCCCATTGTAATCCCTCTCATTGACGTCCCAAAAGGCCTTCCTGAGGGGATGGAGACAGTGCTGATGGCCTGCCTGCAGCCTGCATGTACATGGTTGGGATAAGGACAGTGATTGAGGGGGCAGAGGTCCACCCCAGCTGCTCAGGCTTATCACTCAAATACTCTTGCTCACCCTGGTGAAAGATGGGAGCTAGGCCTATGAAGCAGGGCGTGCAATGGTGGGCTTTGGGGACTTCACTGACACCAGCTCTCCCCTGTTGGCTGGCCCAACGCTGGATCCAGGACCGGTGATTTTCTATTATCACCTTAATAAGATTGAGGGGTATCAGACAGTCAAGCATTTCCTCAGACCATGACATTTTAGTCACTCCATAGAAGGGCCAGCTCTGAGACAAAGGTTGGATCCAGCCACATCTGGGCTTCTCTCTGAGAGGAGGTTAGAAAGCAAGGGGTTCCAATCTGAATCTCCCTAGGTTCACGGCCCTACCTGGGTTGTGAAAAGACCCAAGGCTCACTAGCAGTTGCAGGCTACTTCACAGCTAAGAAAACTCTATGCATCTGCTGCTGTTCCTTACACGTGTTTTAGCATGAGAGGAGAGTTACCACAGGCATCTGCCTTCTGTTTGAGCCTGTGGTGGGACACAGGTTCTGTGAAGATACGTCAGTGCTTATTCCTTGGGAGGTTTGAAGGAGTGGATTCCAGGTGCCTTCTGTGTGCTTCCAAGGGATGTTACAGCATTATTGTTAGTATTACAGGACTTGGCAATGCTGGTTGATGAGAAGCTCCATGTGAGCTGGTAATGGGCACTTACAGCCCAGAAAGCCAACCATATTCTGAGCTGCATCAAAAGAAGCATGGCCAGCAGGTCAAGGGAGGTGATTCTACCCCTCTGCTCTCATGAGACCCCCACCTGGAGTACTGTGCCCAGTTCTAGAGCCCCCAACACAAGAAGGACAGGGAGCTGTTGGCGTGAGTCCAGAGGGGGCCACCAAGATGAGCCGAGGGCTGGAGCACCTCTCCTATGAAGACAGGCTGAGAGAGTTGGGTTGGTTCAGCCTGGAGAAGAGAAGGCTCTGGGGACACCTTATAGCAACCTTTCAATACTTCAAGGGGGCTTATAAGAAAAAATGTGGGGATGTGCTTTTTAGCAGGGCCTGTGGCAATCGGAAAAGGGGTAATGGCCTTAAACTGGAAGATGACAGATTTAGATTAGACAATAGGAAGAAATTATTAACTATGAGGGTGGTGAGACACTGGCACAGGTTGCCCAGAGGAGATGTGGATGCCCCCTCCCTGGAAGTGTTCAAGGCCAGGTTGGACAGGGCTTTCAGCAACTTGGTCTAGTGAGAGGTGTCCCTGCCCAGGGCAGGGGGAGTGGAACTAGATGGTCTTTAAGGTCCCTTCCAACCTAAAGTATTTGATGATTCTATTTTTTATATACATATATATCTGTGTGTATATATATAAAAAAACACCTATATATAGATGTTACAGTGCTATCAAAGTTGTCCTGTGCTTTGGATAAAGTGACCTAACAAATTGTACTTGGCGTTCCTGTCATCTAGATCAATGCCTAAACATTTGGCTGGTGTATGTTCATTTTCTTAACTGTACAGCTTCATGTCACCAATTATTTATTCAGGCAGTGTTCATGTTAGTGGCAGAACATTTATTCCTTTACACTGCAATCACCCTTTGTTACATGCCTGAGTTATAAAAATAGCATAATTACAGCACCAACAGTTGGCAACCTTCTGAGACAGTCCTCAAACTCTGTGCTGTCTGACAGCCCTTGCCTTCTACTCTAGGCCACAACTGATCTTACATCAGTTACAATTAAATTTCACATCAGCTTCTGTGTAGCTGTTACCATGAAATGTGCAAGTACTCCAATTACTCCATTCTCTTCAAGTACTCCATTGTTTACATTCTTTACATTTACTCTGTTCTTCATGCCCTTTTCATGTCCTCTGTTCTTTACAAACAGTACAAGTCAACAGTACAAGGTGCATACCCATAATCTGAATCACAGACCAAACTACCGAGAACCTTTCACAGCATAAATCCTGGCAAAACGTTCTTGAACTCTGTGGTGGTTTCACTTTTTCAGAAATGCAGCTGAGTTGTCTAGACAAGAGTGTTAATAATCTGCAGTGCTGAATAGGTATCATGCCACAGTGTTTAAATCTGGTAGGCAGGGTAGCCTCAAGTACTTTGATGTCTCTCTGACGTCAAGAAATTATGGAAAAATGGCCACTTGAGCAAAAAAAGGTGTCGCTTTTTCAATCACGTTTCAGAATAGAAGCTATCTTACAGATTGTTGGTTTGAAAGTGGGATTTTGACCTTACACAGAAACTGAGCACTTTTAAACCAACTGTCTTCTAAGGAGGATTTAAAAGCTTTTTCATGCAACCATAATTCTGAAAAATTAATATGGGAAAACATGAAATATAATTGGATTTAAAAATAATCACAACACCAGAAAATTAAACATTTAATTTTATCTGGGGACAAGGCCATAGGATGTAGGATCCCTTATCCCGATCCTTAAGTTGTCTGTCCTGTGCTCTACACCACAGGCAAACTCCAGCAGTGGAGGTCAATGTTGTCCATGCCAGATGACACTGTCAACCATAAGCAGCGGGTAAGAAGCGATTTGCTGCGCTCTCCTGGGCCAAGTGGGTGCTGTGGCCTTCAGCACAGGTAGGTGGTGTGCACCATGCCTTGTGAAATACTTCTGCGTGGTTAGTATAACATGCAGGATCACCACCAGGAAATGAGGTTAAAACCTGCAGAGCAATTAATCTTTTCCTAACCAAAGTAGGCAAATCCAATGGGAAAACATGAGGTTTAGGCAGTAGCATTACTCAGGGCTTGGGTTTATGTGTTTAAAAGCAAAATGGCACAGCAGCAGGTGGCAGCAGTGTCTTTCCAGATCCTCTGCATCTGCTTGTTGAAGTTTTCTACTTTGTGGTTACCTGTCCTGGACAGGCACTGGAAGCCACAGACAAGGGTGGAGGCCACACTGCCTTTCACTTGCCAGCAGCTTGGTCTCTAGTTTGTCAGACCTTCCTTTTCTGTGCGTTGCCAGTAGCAAATTTCAAATATTGGCACCAGCACCAGCCTACCAATCCATGTTTCTTACAAGGAGTGTTTGAGTAGGTCCCTCATATCCCCTGACCACTTAGGTAGATATTTTAGATAGAAGCCATTTAGATAGAAGCTATCACCA